TCTAAAATTGAACTACTTTATTGGATAATTATTTTGCATTTGTTAAAAAACTTTGATTTACAAGTTCTTTTCAGTATTTTTAGGTTCTTTTTCTATCCAAGGGTTCTAGTTGACTTGTACTAGACTTTTGGTGTACCAGGATTTCAGTTTTCACACAACCAGCTGCAGTTTTTAGTTTGTGTAACTCATTGAAATGCTAATTACTGGCTCCATGTCCTAATGAGTTCCTATTGTTTGCTCAGACATTGTTGTGTTATCAGATTATGCTAAATTATCTCAGGCCAAAGTCACTTCAGTGCAAAATAAAATTTTAGGGTAAAAGTTCAGGACAGTCAGGTTTATACAAAGTCATTTGATTTGCCAAAAAGAATTATAAGTCGTGATTTAATTTTTAGAGTACAGTAAACATGTTCTTTATAACACTGAAGGACTGAAGGTGTGGGCTAAGGCTAGTTAGAATTATTTTCAAAACCAATACTCTGATGCAGTTGAGCAAAACAAGGAGGTTAGAAAATAGATTTTTTAAGTTAACCAGCTCCTTGTTTAAAACAAAACCTCCTTTGATTTACTTTTCAGTCCATTTACTATGATTTAGGCACTTCTCAAGTCAAACCCAATACCAATGGAGTATGGACCTGGAATCCTCAGTTTTAACACAACGCACTGCTTGAACAAACAAACTCCCTACAGGTTCCCATTGTTTTCCCGGTTCTTCATAGGTTAACTCTGCTGAATTTCTTCTCGCACTCAGGGCATCATAGAAATATCACGAAATATCACATACTCCCTTCTTTCATAAAAAGACAATGCTATAAAACTGTACATTGATTGTCATACAACAAGACAATGTCATGAATTTCTACCAAGTCATATTTTTTCATCCGTGACAGAACTCAGGGTTCAAAATTCCCACTCTCACACTTTTGCCAGACAAGTCATGTTTTCTGAGACTTGGTCATGGAGACCTCAAGTTGCTTGGCACGCAAGCTTATTATTTTGTCAAGCTTATCTTTTTATAACCCTGATGAAGGTTAGACATCCAGGTCAACAATATTCAAAGACAAATCAAACTCTACTACTGGATAAATTATCACGGAGATTACTTCAGGACATTTCCAGGAGGCCTGATCTATACTATAGGTGCAGCTACAACTCCACTAACTGGAAGGGAGGATTTCCCATAGAACTCTCCAGTACATGCAGTTGTTCCTGTGGTGTTGTATTAGTATTACCATAATCTACCTTATCCTCATTTACATAACAATAACAGTGACACTTATGTGTCTTTCACTCTTTGTTCAACTGTTTTTTCTAGTTCCTTCAAGTGTATTTTAGTGCCACTGATTCAGAAGAAGAGTAAGAGAAGTTTCAACTTGAAATGTCCCAAAGTTATCTCTGGAAAATCATGGCCATCTTGTACTGTTTTGCTCCATGTCTGCTCAGTCCTAAAAAATTGCACAGTCCCTGTGAGGAATTCCTCACAGGGAAAATGCAGAGTGCAACTTTTTTGGTGCTTTTCTTCATATAATCATAGGATGCTCAAATCCATGGTGGAAGCTTAGTTCAGTTGCCTCATAGTGAT